GATAGTTACATGCATATATATATATATATACACACACACACACAGAGTTATATACAGAACTAGATGGATGGCGAACTGGTAATCATCGAATAAGTTGTAAGGAAAAGTATTGCTTAATTAAGTTCAATTAATGAATTAATTAGCTTAATCACGTAATTAAACACTTTACTCAATTATCTCAATTGTTTCATTGTATGATCAAATCAATAATTTATAAATTCAAATCATGTTGCCTTCATCTTTTTTAAAGTACGAATTCAAACCAAGTTTACATTTTCTTTTTTCAACTTTTACTACTCATTTACAATATATATATATATATATATATATATTAAATTCCATGCATCTATCTATTTTTAAAGTCAATTATGTAACTTTCACATTTTGGAAAGTAAAAGTTTAGATCTTATTGCATTGTTTTTTAATTTTTTTACTACTCATTTGCATAATGTACATTCTATATACATGTATACACCTATTTGTTTAAGATAATAATATCCAATATATTATATATTTTAAAAAACTACATTAGGGTTTTCTCATATTATAAAATTTGAGATAATTAACTACAAATATACCAATCAATATACAACATAAAATAACATTTAAAAAGATGATATATACAAAATCAAAATCTGATTTGAACTCATAATTATTTAAAAATAAATAAATGTATTATCGTTTAATTAATTAATTAATAGTAAAATAAATGATATATAAATATTTATCATAACACGATACAATATAATTTTAAATGGGTACGTATAAAAAAATATAATTTAAATTTATAATCTCTTTTTTTTTTTTACAAAAAATTAAAGATACTAATTATTTAACTAATTAACCAATGTAGATAATTAAATAATAATAATAATTTAAATTACTTTATTTGACAATTTATATACATACACACATACGTATATATGTATGTATAAGATCTAAATGATACCCAATAGTGGATACACCTCATCTAAGTTGGCAATATTGATTTAATTGGAGGGCTACATACATGTTTATATATCGAACTTCATGTTTTTATAAAAGATAATAATGAAGGTTTTGACTTTTGAGATTTTCAAAAGATGAATGAATCTCTGTTAATGTTTATTAATTTATTTAAGTGCATGCTCGATTAACAGGAATATCATCAATTAAACTTTTTGGTGAATTAATTATCAATTTTTGTTTTTTAAAAAAAGTGATGAGTGTTCGTAAAAAAAAAGTTTTACAGTAATTAATTATCTGGAGTAAATTAAATATTTACTATTTTTAATTATTATATACCATTTTCAAATTTTAAATATAATATATATATATATATATACACACACTATATTTTACTATACATCTTAATTATTTTAGGTACTATTATTATCTCACTAACTAGGAAGTTATCCCATAAATTTTGTTAGTAATTTGCTTATTAATTATTTATATATTTTAATATAATTATTAATTTCAACAGTAATATTGCGATATTAATAATTATAATACGATACGATAAGATATTTTACTAATGATAATTAATTAATTACTAATAGCATAATAACCGTGATAATTAATGTTTGTACATAACAAGTATTAGTTGTAGCATAGTAAACATTAATAATGATATAGTACAAACTTATAATTTACAAGATTTAAATATACACCATTGACTGTTTTTTTTTTTTTTGGTTTAGATCTCTATAGTGTATATATATATATATATGTATGTATATATATATATATGTTTGTTTTAAATTAGGTTTTATATTTTTTAAAAAAATTATTCAAAAAACCTAACCCTAATTATATAATGCTTGAAATTAGCATTGTTAAATAATTTCTTACAACACATTAATAATAAAATTAAAAAGGTTAAACGAGTTTTTCTCTTGCTAATTTTAGACATTAGAAATTAACAATAAAATGTTGATAATAAGATACAAAATTTTATTCTCACAATTTTTTTTTTTTTTTTAGAGCAAATTTTCACATCGTTCTTAGATTGCCATGTAGTTGTTGACACGAGCTTGACTTAATAAAAAAATATAGTTACTAGGGGTGAGTATTTTTTTGGAAATATTTCAGAATTATATGCATAAAATGTTACAAAATATAATATATGTAATACCCATTAATTTTAATGTATTTAAAATTAATTTATAAATATAATTTTTTTAATTTTTAAATTTTAATTTAATGTAAAAATAAAAAAAAATATGTGAAAAATGAAATTGAAAACAATTTTAGAAAAAAATGGTGAAAATTTAGGTTTTGAAAGTATTTTTGAAAGAAAAATAAAAAACTGGGGGTCAAAATGCAATTTAAAAAAGTTGAGCCACGTAGGATGCTCAGTCAACAGCTCCGACGAACCAGAACGCGCCACGTGGCATGTAACGCCCCATTTTTTTTTTTCTTAATAGCATAAGGTACGACAATTCTACGGCCACATATGAACGCGTCATTCCAAATCCACCACAAATATAGAAACCTTACCGCAATCTATTATTCAGAGTCACAGTAAACCTGCAACCCTGCATGTAATATCACAGTGAAAAAGAATCTCACAGACTCCCAGCAGACACACTATCTACCCTACTACTAGTTATTACACACTCAATCATGCCAAATAACGAAAACATTATTGCCCTGTTTCTCTATCCGCTAGGCTCGAAAATCAGCAACTCCGATCCCGACTCCATCTGTAAATAATAAGGAGTGCGTATATACAACTCAGTACAGTAAAAACTAAGTTACAAGTATCATATACAATAATAGGAAACTCAGGGGTCCTATATGTACTCCACCTACTCAACCTAATACCTACCCTTGATAATTTAAAAAAAAAACATGCATGTTAATTGTGACCGCCCCTCGATGTCCTCTAACCATACAAATACTTTCTCCCGTCACCCGTATCAGCGATCACCAATAAACCGCTTATCTCCCGACCCCTAATAGGCCACACACACACACAGATACTATTCTCACCCGCCACCAGTATCGGCGCCCACCAATAAACCTCCTATCTCTCGACCCCTAATAAGCCACAGACACACACATATTCCATTCTCACCCGTCACTAGTATCGGCGACCACCAATAAACTGCCTATTCCTCGACCCCTAATAAGCCACACACACACACACAGATTCCATTCTCACCCGTCACTAGTATCAACGACCACCAATAAACCACCTATCTCTCGACCCCTAATAGGTCACACACACACAGATTCCCTTCTCACACATCACCAGTATCGGCGACTCCCAATAAACCACCTATCCCTCGACCCCTAATAGGCCACGCTGTAGCACCCGGAAAGGAGAAGAAAAAAAAAAAAAAAAAAAAAAAGGGCGGCCACGTCAGCAGCCACGTCAGCAGGCCCGGTCAGCAGTCCCGGCCAACCAGGGCCTGCCACGTGGCAAGACCGCGTCACTCCAAAAGGAGCCACGTTGGCGATCCGCGTGGGTGCGATCCGACGGCCCAGATCAATCACGCGATCGGACGGCCCAGATTCAATCGCACGGACGGCCCAGATTCAATCAAAATGAACGGCTGTGATCAAAAGACAAGGGGTTATAAATAGAACCTCCACACCAGACCACAAACCCTAGCCGCCAGCCG